ACCTGGCAATAAACTTCAGTGCTCAACACAGACAGCTGTATAAGCACGTAAATAGCCTTCGAAAGTTGAGGCAAGGATTTTCTCCACTCAAGACGCCTGATGGTCCAACCAGAACGGAGTTGGAGGCAGCAAACGCGCTGCAGATGCAATACTCACATACGTTTCGAAGTGTCTTAAAAACAGGCGATCTACCAAGATTCGTGTACTGCTCGCCAGTACTAACCCACATCAATTTTACCTTAGACGCTGTATGTGAAAGCTGACATCTCAACGAAAACTCAGCTCGCCGGGTGTTGACACCATTCGTCCAGAGTCATTGGGAGTAGCAGCAAACCAACTGGCAGGACATTTAGCTCAGTTTTTCCAGCGCTGCTTAGAGCAGAACCAAGTTCCCGCCATGTCGACGCTTGGAACATTAACCCCGATTCACAAACTGGAAGCAGAACTGATCCCTCTAACTATCGCCCAGTAACCCTTCTTCCCATACCCTCAAATGTCATGGAATCCATAGTTGCCGATGCACTGGTGTGCTATTTGGAAAACTGCAACATCATTACTCCAGAACAGCACGGTTTCCATCAACAGCTGTCATGTACAACGAACTTATTCATTGCACGCAGTAGTTGGACCGAGGCATCTGATGCTGGAGAAGAAGTTAATGGGATCTTTCTGGATTTTTCAACGCTTTCTATCGTCTAGAACATCGGATACTACCATCCAAGGTGCGGCATTGTGGGATCGGGGACCCTATTTTAAGTTGAATCGTCAACTTTCTACTTCAACGGCAATTAGTGGTCAGAGTTCGTAGCTCTTTATCGTACCCCATAAGAGTCGACTTTGGTGTGCCGCAAGGCTCAGTTCTAGGTCCACGTTTGTTTTTGGTTTTTATTAATTACCTTGCACAGGGAATCGCTTCAAACTTCCTAATGTTTGCTGACGATATCAAGATCTGGCGCAGGATCCAGGCGAACGCCGACCAACATGTGCTTCAGAGTGATTTAGATACGGTGAATCAATGGTCGACCCTAAACTTAATGCATTTCAACGTCAATATACGCAAGGTACTTTCCATCCGACGTCAGTGTCGCTATTCATACCGACTCGGAATGGGTGTACTGCAACAATCAACTCTCGAATTTGACTTGGGTGTCCTGGTTCCCCATGATTTGGGTTGCTCCAGGCAATCCGAAAAGGCATGGAAGACCGGGAACCAACACGTTGGGTTTTTGAGGCAGGCGTTTGGACAAATAAATATCTCCATATTTCGACAAATGCTCAGTGCGTAGGTTTGCCCGCATGTCGAATATGCAATTCAAGCCTGGCATCCATGGCTGAAACACGAGCTTAATGCACTGGAGCAGCCACAACGTCGGGCACCTAAGAACGTAATTTGAATGCTTAATCATTTTTACCAGGGGAGGCTGCAACAACTGGGATTGTTCAGTTGAAGCTATCGCAGACTACAAGGCGACCTGGTTATGGCATACTTGATTCTGCGAGACTCACATCATGTGTGCCGCACTTTGCTGCAACTCAGCAGCAATACAACCCTGAGGGGCCACTCATTAAAGCTCGCAGAACAATACAGTCGTCTGGAGGGCCGCAGAAATTTCTTTTATATTCGCCTCTGTCACCGGTGAAATGCTCTCCCAGAATCGGTCGTCTTTGCACCAACACTAAGAGTATTTAAAAGACGGTTGGACGATGCACTCATCCATTTACGCTTTGTTACGTCTCCATCATACACCTGGAGTATACCATGGAATTATTCCTTGTTAACTGCGGATTCTGTGAATCTAAGTGTTTCGCAGGTCTACAGCGGAGCAAACGATTAGTCCTTATTGTCATATTTCAATTATTAACTGTTTTGCTATCGTTATCATCACAATGGTTGTGTTTATTTCCCCAACCAACTATGCAACGGGACCTGTAAAGCAACGCATCTTAACCCATATTCAAGCACTTTTCCTTGTTCATTGAGGTCTCTCTTTAGTCATTTGTAGTTAAACATCAATATAATTTGCTTTGTGGGGATTCGTAAACCCATTCAGGATGATTGCAACAAACATTTTTGCTTCATCATTATTAGTACACGTTAGCTGAATTTCAAAATTGCTGCCACTAATGTGCCGCAAAAGAAGAAGAAGAAGAAGTGTTATACTTTGCATTATGAAATGTAAACCTGGTGACCCTATGCTACCCAGATATATATTATGCTTTGGATGAGGAAATGCTCAATAAAGTTCGGAAACAGGCTGGAGGATTATGGACAAAGAACCGTCTGAGATAGACGCCGTTAGGCTAGGCTGCTTGCCATGAAACAAGTGTGCGCAAATATATGTGTTTATCGTTTTTCGGTCCCCAGCTTGGCAATCCGGATACACCAACCGGCACCAACTTTGAATTGCGGCACTTCATCTATTTTGACCAAGCCATAACTTGTCCCCTCTTCTTCCTTCTCCATCTGTACCCCAGACGGGCAAATAACGAACGTCGCTGAAGTAGGTCGGTTGAAATAACAAACTCGTCAGAGTAACATCCCAGCTCATAATACGTAAGCATTCAGTGAGTAGTAAATTGCAGAAAACGACATTGAGTTATTACTCTTGTAGGCATTTTCGGTAAATCCAAACATGGAAAATTAGAATGCCTACAAAACCATGTAAATTACTATGTCGCACTAGAGAACTATGCTCAAGGCTGAAGACAATCTTGTGTAAGTTATAAACCTCGCGAACTATGGTGAGGATTCAGCCCGTACATACTGCACATGTGCAAGTGTGACCTGCGCAAGGAGCGGCTAACGCACTTGCACACCAGTTAGCTTGTACTTTGCAGGACGCGCCGTCATCTGGAAGTATTTTCACGAAGCTCACATTACCACAATTACTCATCTACATATAAATTAACGACACAACTAAGATGAAGCTACTGATGATCTCCTTCGAGCAAAGCGCATCTGATGCAGAAGGAACACGCTCAACGCCGTCGCTATGCTTTCGTCTAGACAGTTGGCATGATTATTCTAGTGATGTCTTAACCAGATTTTGGTTCTAAAACTGTGGAAACACGGAATTGTCACCCGAATCCTCAAGTAACAGATTTGCCTATCCAGAGAGTTATTAATTGGTATCACCAAATCTGGTGATCATTAAGTTCGTGGGGATAACTGGGACAGAAGCATTGCTGGATTATCAGGTTAACAAAGTTTTATCTTTCCGGAGCAGCACTGATTTACATGAGCGAATCAAACGGTATCCTTCGCATGATTGACAGAGTTCTTAATGCTGGAGAAGGAATATATAACGTTAATTTGGAATTTTTCTCACTCCACTTTCTGGACCATCGCTATCTACAGGACACACTTCAGATTTATGGAATCGGTGATCCATCTGCAAGCTTAATAGGTAACCTTATCTTCCGACGTCATGAAAATGGGGGTGGTAGCAACACCATCATTGAGGCCATCGAGATGATCTACGGTTAACCTTAAGAAATTGTGCTCGAGCCACGAATATCTCTAATGGTCGTAAACAACCACGTGAGAATGCAATGTTCAGGTATTCTGGTATTCACATGTGATCTGATGATACGACGTGCTATCATTAAAATGATTATTACACAGCCCTGCAGACGTATCTGAATAAAGCTCATGCATTGTCAACTGTCGACATTTTCATTTCATGGACACAAACTGCATGGTTTTGAGCATACGCTTGCAATGCACTTGACATGAATGTGAGTATGACTGTTTGAGACCGACTGTAAAGGTATACGATTTAGATATTCAGCATTTTGTACGTGTGTGCTTTTTGGGCTCGGACCTTTCATCCATCTGAATGTATGCGCCTCTGTTTGGCGTGTGCTGGAAGCCGCAGTAAACTGTATTTAATAGCTCGGCAGCATTATCTGCAGTGGCACCTCATAGCGCTGGAGACTGCACATAGCAGGGCAGCGAATAAAATAAAATTTTTGTGTCAACTTCCAAAACAAATTAACTGGCGAATACCGGAAGAGTATAGCAGATATATTCGGCAATTTGATAAGATTTGCTCATTGTCTAGGTAGCCCCAGACACCACCCACCTTATCTCAGCCAACGGTTATCTCTGATCGATTATCAGTTTTACTTTGGCAATGTAGCAGTGGTGACGTGCGGAACTACAGAAAGTTTTCTTCCACTGCGTGTTGCAATTTTAAAACCTCGTCATTTTTATTGTGATTATTTCCCACACCACATCACTGTACAAATATTGAAATGCTGATACGCGGACACGCTTACCCTCCCTGACCTTGCTCATTAACAGCAGATTATGACATTATTGCAGAAGAGACAGTGTCCGTTTGCGAATCCCCTTAAACAATAGAAGAATATTCACATAGGTGTTATTTTCAACCTCTTGCTGTGATTTATATTTTGAGCGCACTTTCAACAACCCCTTGATTTTACCTTGCATTAATCACTCTAAAAATCCTAGGGACTTTGTCAAACATAAAGCGAAGAAACATTTTTGAACATCGAAAAAATTGGCATAATATTCTGGTTAAAAAAATAGATTATCGAGTTATAAGGTTGAATCATTGTCAAGAAGGAAGCAATCCAGCGAGATTTTATATTTATCTGACGGTTTTATTTTGCAAATCATGAATATTGGCTATCCTCATTCTACCAACACTCAGATAGATAGCTGCTCTTAACACTGATTGGCTAACCTGCAACTAACACCTTCTCCCAAACGAAGCAGACGTCTATGAATGTACTGAATATAAGCAAACACGTTGGTATGAACTACAACCAGCTTGGGGCAACATGAACAGATTAGAATCTAATGTTACCACATTAGTCATAAAATCTTTTATTTCGGAAGCAAATTAATCTATCATTTGTGCAGAACGTTTGCCAAGTGTAAAGTGTTATGTATCATTATCATCAACGGCGGATTAACTGGATGTACTTAGGAAGGATTGCATCAGTAATGGTCAAGTTGGTTTGAAACTCACTGCTGGAGACACTAAGCAAAGAGTTTAGAAGGCAAAATATGCTTGCCGTAAGCATCTTCTATGTGCTGTTGTCTTGGCCGTACTGGGTTGGTCTACGCACACTGCTTTCGCCTGTTAAACGAATGCTCACATTATATTCACGTTTCCATGTGTACTAGCAAAAGTGATGGCCAACCCTGGAACTGGCTAGATAGCTAAGCACAGAGATGGATTATTTTGGTACTCTGAGACTATGCGTCTCTTCAAATCACTGCCTTTAAAACGTGCTGTTGAAGTGATCATTATTGGTTCACTGTGTTTAACGGTCTGACTCTCATCCATGTTAAGACAAATGACCCATAAATGCACACAACAGCCTACCAGATAATGAACACTTAAGTTCTACTGATATTCTCGCATCGTGACGGAGTGTGGGTTCATAACTAATGTAAGGGCTTACCCGGCACCAGTGATAAAGACGGATTCGAGCGCACATGGCTGCTGTATATCAACAATTGCCACCCTATAAAATTGACATTTCCAACCAGTGATGTTTTGCGGTTTCTACCATCTACAAAACTTATATATTAACGGTATATTGCTCGACACTGCCAGGAAGAGTTAGAAAAAGACTCACGAGTTTTATGTTCTAATGGGACCGTATGAAACATGCGAATATCATATTATCATGGTGGATATCTAAGGGATGTTTTTTACAATGGTTGACAAGTTTGATGTTTGACAAACTTGAGTATTTGGAAACTATTACACTTGCAGCTAAAGCCAATCCTTCGATTCAATCAATATGGCTATACTTGAAACACTCTCCAGGAGACACGCTTCAGCGCGGTGCATTCATTATATGGGTTACATCGCCGTTTCCAAGCCCTGTTTAGGCTTGTTCCCCTGTGGATTGATTGTAAGCAAGCAATCACCATGTATACGTGTTTTAGGATAAATTTTACGTGCACACAATACAGGCGATGAAGTCATCCAGTCTGTTCTAACATCTGTTTCCCTTTGTATCGGTATGGTTATTGGCTTGAAAGCTTCAATGTGAGACCATAGTGTAAATGTGCAGTCACAGTCAGCAAAGTAATAGATAAAATAAGGAATTTAAAATAAGGATAATCACGGTAATGCTGGTTAAGAAATTAATGAGATTGCGAGAAGAGTCGACAAATTTTCTAATACGATTACACGTTGAGACAACCGAAGACGGATAGCAAGTTTACGTGTCCATCATCGAGTAAATACTGAAATGCTGTTCAGATAATTCATTGGCTGTATGCATTCGGACAGTAAATTATGCTTATCGCGAAGCACATGAATATGCTAGCTGTCCCTATGCTGTTGATTCCGGCAAAGTGGCAGTTAGGATTGTGAAAATAACCAAGGTAGGAGATTTGTAGAATGACGCTTAAGCATTAGTCGGTACGTCAGGAGAGAGGGAACACAAATTATTACGGACCTCAAACCATTACTTATGGATATTTATGTTCGAGCAGAAAACAGACAGTCAGAGGTAATTTTAACTGTTAGGGCCCTAATCAATAAACTTTATTTTATAAACACACTTGCATAGTTCACTGACCAACGAGCGATCCTGGTCACTGAAACCTGGTGTTTTTCAGACTATGTTTACTCTGGTGACTCCAAACTACCACCTATTCCGAAAAGAGCACGGCGACTGAAATGGTGGAGGATGTATTATATACCTACGCAAAACATTTAGAGCTAAACCCATAGACCAATCACAATTGGAAAATATCCGTGGATCTGTTTGGCTGTCAGTTGCAGGTATCTCATATTACATACTACCCGCATTATTCTATAACCCACTGAATGCGTCTAACATGAGTACAACCAACGTCACTTCTGCAGTTAGCTTGATACCTACCGACTAATCCATCACACTCCGATACTCGCTCGGCTATTTGGAAAGCTCGTCAGAATGAAGATGAACTTTGTTGATTCTATTGGCTTTATCAACAATTCGCAGCATGGTTTTCTCAATAAGCGATCGCGCACCACCTGTCACCTGTTTACCTTAATAACATTTCAGAATCAATCGATTCCGGCTATGCAGTAGTAAAGTTGTTGGTTGACATACACCAAGCGTTCCACCGAGTACCGCACAAGGGACTGCTACAAAGTTGGAGAAATTTGGGATGCGAGACGCATTACTGATTTGGCTATCATTACATCTGAGCGACCGTTATCAGGTAGTCACTTTAGGTGATTACACCATCTTCTCCACGCTAGATCAAAAGTGGAGTCATTCAAAGGAGCATGCTAGGTTCATTAATATTTTGCTCTACATCAGTGACATCACCACATATGTAAAACATGATATCTTTATTTTATTTGCCAACGACATCGAACTAGTTTATAAATTTTGGCGTGACGAGCTTCACGGGTCTTTATTGCTCATTGGAGGTGACTTATATTCCCTTGATTTATAGTGCTATGTAAGGGTGTACCTCTAGGCTAATAAACCAAGCGTCATATCTTACGTCTGTTGTAGCCCCGAACGATCGATCACCCAAAACAATGAACGCGTCCCTACACAGCTGTCCACGCGCAAGCTTGGAATTAAGTAGTCGTCTACCTACAAATTCTCCGATTAGGCCGAATAACAAGTAGTACGTGCCAGACAGTCTATGTTCAAGATTTCAAACAAAATCCATAGAACTCGCGCTAGAGTTGAGTTTTTCAATCTACTCACTCGCCCCATCCTCGAATGTTTCAGCATAATATACGGCCCCTATGAGAACAGTGACAGCATTGTTGTAGAGCACACGCAGAGGTCATTCACTAAAATTTCTGATTGGTAAATACTCTTCTATAAGTTAGCGAGAACGTGGCAATGAACTTCATCTTAAACCACTTTAGATTCGACGATTGAAGCACAACCTTTGCTGATTTCCAACATGTTACACAAAAAAACCTAGTCCAACTTGCCCACACTCAATTTACAACATTGTTCAACTCCAGAGTTTCGCAAAAATATTTTACATTGAATATACCAAGGGCTAGAACAAACGTCCGCTCTAATTTATTCCTGATCAGATATAGTTTTCTGTGAATAAAATATCCATAACTCTCAGGTCATGTGACAGTGTGGCAACATTCAGTAGCAGCCCTGCCAATTAACTTTATCTAACTACCCTATGCTCTATATTTACAGGAAAAAAATCCATCGATGAGCTATTCCAAAGGGGGCCCAAAAACATATGAACACCAATATTTTCCTAACTAGGCTTTGGACTCAACCATTCGCCAGAATGATAATACATGAAACACAAATCACAATACTCCACCTATACATGTCACACATGAAAGAGCATGAATTCTTCTGTACAGATTGATCTGTGCTGAAATAGACACAGTTTATATCATCAAGAGAAGTATACCTATTTTTATTATTATCATCACTATTTTCCGGTAATTCTCTCTGCTCTCCCTCTCATTCTTCTTCATTCCGTAGGTCGTTATCTTTGTATGGCAGCGAATAATCAGTTCAAATGGCTGGTGTATTGCTGCTGACGTACCTGCAAGTGAACCAAAGTTCCCAACACTACGTTTGAGTTGATCGTTTTACTTCGTTCAAACTCCAGAAGGGTTCCAGTGGTCTCAGCAAATCAGTCTCTTAACCAACTATGCGCCCTAGGGAGTACTGGTGTACTACAGTTTTTATTCTCATTTATACATTAATATAATTTGATTTACTTTGAGCATCGTCTATTTGGATTGATTGCACCTCATAGGGAATCTCATTTGGCAGCAGCGAATGCACTCATTCGCCCCGTATGCTCGTTTTCACTACGAAGGCTTTCATTTCACTACGGTCAAGTCCAATAGTTGCAGCATCTTCCATTACCATTCGGCATCCTACGGCTAATTCGTCACTTTAGTTCCGGCAGTGTTCCATGCTCCAATACGTGGAAGTTTTACTGGAGAATACTTGCTGCGACTACCTAAGCGAATTTTGAAGACAGTCGCATGACGTTCCAAGGCCATTGGGTTTTTTTCTTCATACGTGTCGTAGCCTGAGGCTTAAAGTACTAGAACAGGGGCTCATGCCGCATAGGTTCACCAAAGTTCATTATAAGCGTTCTTGTCTCCTTTTCCTTTAACTTTAAATCATGCTGCACTGGGCATCCCATTGTAGTTTCCGGTATTCGAAGACAGCGCCGATCATTTTACGTGCATATCTACGCAAGGTTATCATACATTTCTATTTTGGTGTTTGTGGCACGTATATGTGAAGATCGCCAGTAGTAAAGCACATATTATTTGGGAGCCAGTATGGCATGTATAACTTGTAACTATGACTCTTTTTGCTATGTGTGTGCACCCGGGAACTACTCGTGGTTACTACTGTCTAGTGACTTTCCTTGGCGGATCTGCATTGGTAAGGCATATTTGCCTTGCTTTGGTCTTGTTTGTTAGGTCTCTCACGTATCTATGTTAAAGTCTACACATTCTAAAGTACAGCTAACCTGCGAACGCAGTTATAGCTGTTATCCGAATAACCCAAAGATAACAGAAATCAACTGCCTGGCAACACACAATCGCATATTTTGGCCAGAACGGATATAGAGCATCCAGCAAGGGACTGAAGCCAAGTGAATTGTGAGTAAGCAAAATATAGACACAAGCATACGGTCGATGCTGTTGCGAAGCCGGATTAGAGATGGTGACTCCTACAACAAAATCTACCACATCAAAAATCGTTACCTCTTATCTCTGACCCTCCAGCCTAATCAATCCCAACGTGTTGACCCTGTTTGCATTACTTGTCGCTATGTGGTCGTTCGTTTGTGTTATTGATCGGGTTGCTACGTTTTCTGATTGGTCGAGTGTAGCTTGCTTTTTTCTACCTCACTATCCTTTTGATTTTGTGTTTACTACCATTTCCACCTTTTCAGACCCGAGTCAGATGAGCAAATATCAATAACCCTAAGTTCGCAAGCGTGTCACGCACATCGTCACCGATTCGAAACCAACAGACAATTATGATAGCGATAAGGCATTATTCGTTTACTCTTGCATTTGCGAACAGATGTCCTTTATCATAGATTTCCTCATTGAATAACTCCGCCGCCGACCCAGGGACGATTCCCGTGTGATATATA